GGGGTCGCGGAAACGCCCTTTGGCGGCCGAGGCGCCGGGGGTCGACCGGGGGATCTGGAGCTGCACCTCCCCCTCCCCCTGCCCCTCGGGAGGACCCCCTTTTTCAGGGGCCCTGGACGACCGCCTTGGAGGCGGATCTTCTGGGGTTTCTTCGGAGGGCCCATGGGGAGGTCGTTGGCCCCGCGGCAGGCTCGGATCCCCTCCGCGGGCGCGTGCGTGGCGTCTGTCGAGGCGTCGTCGAGCTCGCGTTCGCGGTGTACGCCGCGGGAGGGGCTTCGCGTGGCGTCGCCTCGGCTTCAGCGGCGTCTGCGTCTGCGTCTTCGGGGGGTTCCTCGTCGTTTTCGGGGAAAGGGAGGTTGGCCGGGGCGCGGGAACGCGCGCGGGCGGCCGTGGTGGCCTATCATTACGCGCAGCAGCATCAGATCAACGCGCAGCGGTGCGTCTTCGGCGGCGGTCACTTCATGCGGCGGGAGGAGGGCCCTGGGCAGGGCTCCTCCCCTCCGTCGGGATTTCGTTTCATCCCTTCCCCGTCCCTTTCCCCTCCCCGACGGCGCTCCCGCGTGGGGAGGGAAGGGGGAAGTCTCGTGGAGGAGGTGGGTTTGGCGTGGGGAGGGGGGGGGGGATGGGGGGGGCGACGGGGTCTCGGAGGGCGGGGTCCTCCCGCTCGCGGCGTCCTTCGACTTCGCCGATTTCCTCGCGAATCGCGCACCGGAGGCGGGATCGTCGTTTCAGCCACGGCCTGGCGAAAAACGGCCGCGCGCGGCGATCCCATCGGGTTCATCCTCGCCATCGGCGGTGCCGCTTCGGTTCGGCGCGGATTCGATTCTTTGGTTGCCCGTTGCAGCGGAAGGATCGGCCTCGTCGCCGGCGCTCTTAGCGGAGGCGCCGTTGGAGCGGTTTACCGACGTCGTCGACCTCCCGCAAGACGTCGGTGGGGATTCCGATGTGAAGGATCCGGCCACGCGTGCGGCGTTAGAGGAGGTGGGGGCGGTGTTGGCGTGCGTGGATGCCGTTTTTAAAGGGCGTGGGATCGCGGCGCCGTTGGCGTGTTCGTACGGGCGAAACCGCATCGCCGTGGCAGGGGTCTCCACGGTGTTTCTCACCTCCGCGCCGGCGAGTAGGACCACTTCCGCCAAGGAGGCGGAAGAGAAAGAGAAAGAGGAAGCGGAAGGGGAAGGGGAAGGGGAAGGGGAAGAGGAGGAGGAGGAGAAGGAAGAAGAAGAGGGAGAGGAAAAGGAGGACGACGAAGGATCGGCGCGCGATCGACCGGATGACCCCTCGAGGAAGGGATCCGCCAAGGTGGAGGGCCGCGAGGGGGAAGTACCACCGTCGCCGGAAACGGAAACGAAACCGATGCTTCCCCTTGCTCACTTTTTCCACGAAACCGGACTATTGTATACTGCGAAAGGTAGGACCTTCGCGATGGATGTAACCGCGGAACGGCGGTGGTGAGGAAATGATAGTTTCGTTATTTTTTCCTTTCTTTTGGGAGGTCTCTTATGAAATTTCCTGGTTAGTGAAGACGTAGCATGGGGTCACTCACCCCCAATCGTTCGATACTCACCATAGGGAAGATGACCAGCACCGACCGTGAGCAAAAGAACGGTGTGCGAAGGTTTGAAGGCGCCTCGAGAATGAACCCTGTGATAATGAACGTAATAGGATTTTTTTGAGTTTTCACACTGCGTGGAGTGGTGTGAGGAATGGAGGGTTGACAGCTATGCTTTATTTATTTGTAAGTACCGTCCCGCTACTTTGGTTGTGGTTGTTAGGCAGGAGCTTAGTATACACTGCGCTCCTTTTTTTTTTGAAGGTGAAGACTCATAATAGCTTTTAGTTCGCCAACCCATGCGCCTTTTGTCGTCCAAACGCACCCAGAGGTGTTGTTTGGTGGCGGTAACGGGGTTTAGTGGATCCGGGAAGACAACCGTCGCGCACCTCCTCGGGCGGCAGCTCCGCTCCCCCTTCCACCCCATCTCCCTCGACGACTTCTTCGACGCGAGCCGTTGCGAGGCCCTTGGGACATTCGACGACTTTCGAACCATCCACTTCGGGAACTTCGTCCGATCGATGCGGGAGCTTAAAGCCTTCCTCTCTGTGCAGGCGACGAAAGGGGAGAACGGGGAAGGGGGCTCGCCACGGCTTTCCTGGAAGGTGGAGTTGCTCGCGCGACAGCCGTGGGTTGCGCGATACCTCGTTGCCGCCGCCACGGAGGAGCCCGACGACGACGCCGTCAGCGGCGATTCCTCCCTTCTCGCGCATGAGGAGGAGGGCCGACGGTGGCGTCGCGCCACAACCCCTCACGGCGATTCGAGCTCCTCCTCTTCCGATGAAAAAGAGGAGAGGGAGAGGGAGGGGGGGGAGCGTATTCTCTACGTGGTGTGTGAGGGGATCTCGATGTTCTGCGATGGCGCGGTTCTCGGCCTGAGCGGTAGGGAAGGGGAGGGGGAAGAGAAGGGGGCTCTTTTCGACGTTCACATCGCCGTTGGGTGCGATTTCGAGGCGGCCTGCCTTCGTCGTTTCGCGCGGACGCCACGACGGCCGAATCACCCGCGTGATCCCCTCCCTCGAATCCGAAAACTCATCGCCGCGCGGACGGAAGCGCGGCGGCGAGAGCTGCACGCGTTTCTCACGGCGGCTGTCGACGTTGGGGGGGATTTTTCCCCCGTGGAAGCGGCGCGTGAGGCGAGGGTGGTGTGGGAGCGGCTGCTCCGTGTGGAGGGGCCGTTTTTCCCACCGGAGCTGCCCGTGGCAGGCACCCGCTTCGCGGATTTTTGGCGGCGGCGCTATCAGCCTCCCCACACGGAGGCGGGGATGGACTGGGCGGTGCTCTCGCCAGACGTGGAGGCGTCGGTTGTGGCGGCGATGCAGGCGAGCGCCGCCCAGCAATGGGAGGAGCAGTTGGAGGTGTATTTCAAGTTCCGCTATTGGTTCTTCTTTGAGGTTTTGTACTACCACCACCTTTTCAAGCCGCTGGAGGCGTTTAACCTTTCCCTTTACGCGGCGATGGCGGTTCACCGCGGTGCGAGAACGATGCGAATGCTGGAAATTGATAATCGCGGGCAGTCGAACCTAGCAGAGGTGGAAAAACAGGTTGAGGGGGTAGCGGGGCAGATTCGCTCGCATTGCTTGTCGATTCGCTGATCTGGAGGATCGCCCTGGGTGGGAATGCGATGACAATCCTTCCCCTCTTTTTTTCCATTTCTCTTCCCCACAAGAGGAGGCCGGAATCACGAAAGTCGCGAATCGAATATTTTGTTTGTGGATGTGTGCGTGTGCACTAGAGTAGAGATGAAAAATACCAGATCTACGGACGTAACATCGTGCATTTCTCATATTCCATGCGTGTGCTGGAGTGAGTTTCATTATTGTAAATGATAGATCATCTGGTTCGGGGGAATTTTTTAGCTTTGGACGATACAACTTGCTCTTTTCTAGTCTCCATTCCCCTCCCTTGTTGAGGAGACATGGCTTGGATTTTATATTCATTTGATTCGCCCACTGTTATTCCTACTTGTCAAATATAAAATTAATCGATAAGACAACTAGAATCATGGGCTAGATGTCACTTCAAAACATGAATTGAAGAGCGATGGGGCGGCAACTATCATTTTGGTGAATGATGGGAATGCTAAAATACTTGTTCGTACGCTCGTGTGCGTTGTCCCTATCAACTCTGTGTTTTTCTCGCTTCTTGTTTATACATATTATTATAAAGAATCCACTCTCAGTGTTCTTCTTGCTAGTATTTAATAGCACACGTTTGGATATTTTTTCTTAAGATTTTCTCGTTCTAAAAAAAAATAAAGGAGTCACGGTTATTCACTAATTTGTCGATTTGCGTCTGTAGGATCTTGCTCGCATAAGGGTTTTAGGTTATAATCTAAAAAAACATTAAGTAGCATAATACGAAGTTTTTCGCATAATCAAAACCCAAGACAAGAGAGGTAAGTCAAGGATATAGACGTTTCGATCGGGCACATAGGGTTTAAAAGCTTTTGCTTGAAAAAAAATCGAGGTTATTATTTGTTTCAGAGTAGTTCCTCTTTTTAAATCTAAATCGGTAACTGTGATTGCTAAGACATTTTTGATCTACGCAGCCCTCCCTAAAAGGTTCATATTTGAAATTATTCGGACTGCTTTTATAAAACGTTTTGCACGCACAGCTTAGTGGAGGCAAGATTAACGGGTTACTTATAAAAAAAGCCAAATAGAAGAGAAGAAAAAAAAATAAACATACAAACACATACACACATCAAAGAAAAAAAAACACAACCGTTAAGTATCTTATTTCTCTCTAAAAAAAATCCCATATCTTATTACTGTTCTTTCTGATGCCACTTAATGTGGAGGATCTTGTGAAGGCAGAGCTCGTCCTGCACGGAGGGGAGCGGTTCCCTGGTTATTCCTTCGGCTACGAAAAGAGCATCGCCGGTGAGGTGGTCTTCTCGACGGGTATGGTGGGCTACCCAGAGAGCCTGACGGATCCTTCTTATCACGGCCAAATCCTCGTCTTGACGACGCCGATGGTCGGAAACTACGGCGTTCCGCCGGTCGAGGAAGATTGCTTTGGGTTGACGAAGTACTTCGAGAGTTTTCACGGCCAGATTCACGTCAGCGGGGTGCTGGTGCAGCAGTACTGCGAGAATCCCGACCACTGGGAGTCGTGCGAGAACCTCTCGCAGTGTTTGCGGCGGAATAAAATCCCGGGGATGATGATGGTGGATACGCGACACATCGTCCTCCGCCTGCGGGAGATGGGAACGGCGCTTGGGAAGCTGCTGATCAAAGGCGAGGATGTCCCTTTTATGGATCCCAACACGCGGAATCTCGTCGCAGAGGTGAGCACGAAGACGCGCGCGACCTACGGCCACGGCACGCTTATTATTCTCGTGATTGACATGGGCGTGAAGCTGAACTCGCTTCGTTGTTTGTTAAAGTACGACGTGACGTTGGTGGTGGTGCCGCATGATTGGGATATCACCACGGAGGTCTACGACGGGCTTTTTATCAGCAACGGCCCTGGCAATCCGCAGCTCTGCACCGCCACGATTCGCAGCGTGCGGTGGGCGTTGCAGCAGTCGAAGCCGATCTTTGGGATTTGCATGGGGAATCAAATGCTCGCGCTCGCCGCGGGGGGCAACACGTATAAGATGAAGTACGGCCACCGCGGCCAAAACCAGCCCTGCAAGTGCAACGTCGATGGCAAGGTGGTGATCACGACGCAGAACCACGGCTTCGCCGTCGACTTCAAGTCGATGCCGCAGGAGGAGTGGACGGAGTACTTCACGAACTCGAACGACTTCAGCAACGAGGGGCTCGCCCACCGCACGAAGCCGTTCTTCAGCACCCAATTCCACCCCGAAGGGCGGTGTGGTCCGCAGGATACGGAGTACCTCTTCCGCGAGTTCGTCGAGCGGGTGAAGGCGTCGAAGGTGCAGGAGATGATGAAGTTTAAACCGCGCAAGGTGCTCGTGTTGGGGGCGGGTGGGATCGTTATCGCGCAGGCCGGGGAGTTCGATTACAGCGGCTCCCAATGCCTGAAGTCGCTCCGCGAGGAAGGCATCGAGACGGTGCTGATCAACCCCAATATCGCCACGGTGCAGACGGATAACGAGATGGCGGATCACATCTACTTCGCCCCGATCACGGTGGAGTCGGTGGAGAAGGTGATTGAAAAGGAGCGGCCGGATAGCATCATGCTTGGGTGGGGTGGGCAGACCGCCCTGAACTGCGGCGTCCAACTCGAGAAGCAAGGGATTTTGCGGAAATACAACGTCCAGGTGCTCGGGACGCCGATCTCGGTGATCGCGATCACGGAGGATCGCGAGCTTTTTCGCGATTCCCTCCTCCAGATCGGCGAGCGCGTGGCGAAGTCGATGGCGGTGACCTCCATCGACGAGGTGAAGCGCGCGAAGGAGGTGATTGGGTTCCCGATGATGGTCCGCGCCGCCTATTGCCTTGGCGGGCAGGGCAGCGGGATTGTCCACAACGACGCGGAGCTGCACGAGAAGGTCCGCACCGCGTTGGCGGTTTCGCCGCAGGTGTTGCTCGAGAAAAGCGTCGCCGGGTGGAAGGAGATCGAGTACGAGGTGGTGCGGGATATCTACGATAACTGCGTGACCGTCTGCAACATGGAGAACTTCGACCCGATGGGGATTCACACCGGCGAGTCCATCGTCGTGGCCCCTTCCCAGACCCTTTCCAACGACGAGTTCCACATGCTTCGCAGCGCCTCGATCAAGATCATCCGCCACCTCGGGATTGTCGGGGAGTGCAACATCCAGTACGCGTTGGATCCGAACTCCTGCGAGTACGTCGTGATCGAGGTCAACGCGCGGCTTTCCCGCTCCTCCTCGTTGGCGTCGAAGGCGACGGGTTACCCCCTCGCCCACGTCGCCGCGAAGATCGCGCTCGGAAAGGCCCTCTTTGAGATCAAAAACGGCGTTACGAAGTCCACCGTCGCCTGCTTCGAGCCGAGCCTGGATTACATCGCCCTCAAGGTCCCCCGCTGGGATCTCACGAAGTTCAACATGGTCAGCGAGCATATCGGATCGATGATGAAGAGCGTCGGCGAGGTCATGGCGATTGGGCGGACCTTCGAGGAGGCGATTCAAAAAGCCCTTCGGATGGTCGACACGGCGAACTCCGGGTTCGAGGTGCCGAAACGCTTCGACACCGTCGATTGGGATTACATGCAGCACATCCGAAAACCCACCCCGTATCGCATTTTCGCGCTCTGCCGCGCGTTGGAGGCCGGGCACTGCGTGGAGGAGCTCCACGCCCTCACCAAAATCACCAAATTCTTCCTCTACAAGCTGGAAAACCTCGTTCGACTGCGGGCGGCCACCGCGCAGGTGTATCGCGATCGCCTCTCCGCGATCCCGCGCGAGGTGTTGCTGAATTTGAAGGCGCACGGCTTCAGCGATCGGCAGCTCGCGCGTTGCCTGGGTTGTGGGGCCGACGACGTCCGCGCGCGGCGCCTCGAGCTCGGGGTGATGCCGTTTGTGAAGCAAATCGACACCGTCGCCGGGGAGTACCCCGCCGCGCAGTGCTGTTATCTCTACACCACGTACAACGCCCAGGCGGATGATGTCCTGTTCACCGAACGGATGTACGCCGTGCTCGGTTGTGGGGTCTATCGGATCGGGAATAGCGTGGAGTTCGACTACGCCGGCGTCCTCGTCGCGCGGGAGCTTCGTCGGCTCGGGAATCGCGTGATCATGCTGAATTACAACCCCGAAACGGTCTCCACCGACTACGACGAGTGCGATCGACTCTACTTCGACGAGGTCAGCGAGGAGGTGGTGCTGGATATCTTCCGCAAGGAGCGCATCAAAGGCGTCGTGATCTCCCTCGGCGGGCAGATCGTGCAGAACATGGCGCTTTGCCTGAAACGCCATGGGCTGCCGATCCTCGGGACCGATCCCGCGAACATCGACCGCGCCGAGGATCGCAACAAATTCTCGATGATGTGCGATGAGCTCGGGGTGCCGCAGCCGGAGTGGACCTCCGCGGTGTCCGTCGCGCAGGTGTTGGAGTTCTGCAACCGCGTGGGGTACCCCACGTTGGTGCGGCCGAGCTACGTCCTGAGCGGCTCCGCGATCGCGGTGATCGCGAACAAGGAGGACGCCGAGGTCTACCTCCGCGAGGCCTCCCTCGTCTCCGGGGATCACCCGGTGGTGGTGAGTAAGTATTACGAAGGGGCGATGGAGTACGACGTCGACATCGTCGCCCACCACGGACGGGTCTTGTGTTACGCGATTTGCGAGCACGTGGAGCAGGCCGGGGTGCACTCCGGCGACGCCACGATGTTTCTCCCTCCGCAACACACCGATAAGGCCACGATGAAGCGGATTTACGACTCCGCGACGCGGATCGCGGAGCGGCTGGACGTCGTCGGCCCCCTCAACGTCCAATTCCTCCTCACCAAGGAAGGGCAGCTGCGGGTGATCGAGGCGAACGTGCGGAGCTCGCGCTCGGTGCCGTTCGTCTCGAAGGCGCTCGGGATCTCGTTTCCGGAGATGATGGTCTCGGCCTTCCTCGCGCGGAAGGAGCAGGACTTGGTGCCGATCAAACGCGCGAAGATGACGCACATCGGGTGCAAGAGCTCCGTGTTCAGCTTCAACCGCCTCGCCGGGGCGGATCCGATCCTCGGGGTGGAGATGACCTCCACCGGGGAGATCGGCGTCTTTGGCCGCGACCCCCGCGAGGTCTTCCTCAAGGCGATGCTCAGCCAGAACATCGCGATGCCGACCAAAGGCGTCTTCTTCAGCTGTGATGATGAAGGGTGGATGGAGGCGATGGGGGCCGCCCTCGCGCGGCTCACGCCGCGGCTGAAAATCTTCTCCTCGGTGAAGAACAGCCCGGCGCTGCGGCGGCTCGGGATCCCGCACGAGGTCCTCACGCAACGCCAGGCCGGCGAGGAGGACGGCGCGGACGGCGCCATCGCCTGCTACGACGACGCGGTCGCCCAGAAGGAGCTCTTCGACTTTGTGATTCAGATTCGGGATAAACGGCGGGATTTCATGCTCCGCCGCTGCACACCCGCGACGGCGCCGCCCGATTACTGGCTCCGCCGCCTCGCCGTCGACTTTAACATCCCGTTGCTGACGGAGCCGAACCTCGTGAAGCTGTTTGCCGAGGCGTTCGAGCTCTACCCGGGCGGGGTCGAGATCTGCCCGTTCCACGAGTACGTCCCCAAGATCTACCACCGCATCGAGAACAACAACTGCGCGATGCTGAGCGAGCACAAAGTCGGGCTGATGATCTCCGACAGCAACCTCAGCCGCGTCCTCGCGGTGCGGCTCGGGCAGGAGAAGATCAAAGTCACCTGCTTCCACGCCTACCTCGGCGGCAACGTCGAGGATAGCTTCGAGGAATCCTTCACGAGCCTGCAGGTGCCCGTGGAGATCGTCGACCTTCGCTCCGAGCTCGCCGATGCGGCCTTCGAGTTGATCACCTGTCAGTCGATCAACGAGCAGCGGAATTGGCATCTGAGCAAGATCGCCTGGCATATTATCGGAAAGCGGCTGCTCACGATGATGCGGGAGCGCCGCATCACCGTCGTCGCGCAGGGCTCCAGCCACACCCAAAAAGCCGTTCGCTTTGAAAGCTACATCAAACTGTACGCACCGATGATGGGGATCTACAACGCCTGGCGGGATACTCGGCTGATGGAGGATTACCGCACCGAGGCGCAGCAGATCGCCTTCCTCCAGCAGCACGGCGTGAAGCCGAGCGAGCGGCTTGACGGCCTCGTCCACAGCTCCATTTGCGGGAATACGTATTACTTCAACGGCGAGGCCGCGCGGCCGGAGCGGCGATTCGCGCGGGAGGCCGCCGCCCACAATGAGACCCCGGAATTCGTCTCGCTTACCTACCGCGCCGCGCGTTGCGTGAGGATTAATGGGGTGGAGGTCACCCCGTTGCTCGCCTTGCAGATCGCGAACGAGGTGGCGGCGCGGAATGGGATCGGCATCGTCGTGACGGAGAACGCGATGTACGAGGCCCCGGGGATGAACCTCCTCGCCCAGGGCCTGCAGTTCCTCTACGACGTCTGCTTTGATCGCCACATGGAGGAGATGTTCGGGATTTACTCCCGCCACGTCGCGCAGGGACTCGAACTCGGGCAGTTCTCTGATCGCCATACGCAGTCCGCCGTGGAGGCGATTCGCTTCCTCACCGCGAACGTCTCCGGGGTCGTCGAGCTGGAGCTGAATCAGGGCGAGATCATCTTCCTGAAGCTTTCCCAGGTCTCCTGCCCGGCGACCTCACGCCGGATCGTGCAGCTGCTCTCAAACGACGACACGGATGAGATCTTCCAACCCGGCAACGGCTCGTTTAGCGATATTCAGTGGTAGAGTCGACGAGGCGGTGGCAGTGGTGGTGGTAGTGAGGGGCGGCGGGTGGGGGGGGGGGGGGGGTTATCCACACGGCGAGGATAATCTTTTCCCCCTTCTTTTTTCTTCCCTCGCACACCTATGAGATTCTCACACTGGGCGTTTTTCGTCACCATCACAACCCTTACGCATCTTGGGATACTCAAGTAGTATTAGGATAAACTATCCATAGCTTGCAAATAGGGCAGAAGAGAAGTGGTTTAAACCAAAAATGAGTGAAGCACAAAGATCAGGTCGCCTCGAAAAGAGTAAAGAGAATCGAGGGACATATACACACTTGTCCGCTTTTTGCTTTCACCGGTACTTGAAAAGAAAAGACATTAAATATTGTTCTCTATTTTTCATTTTTAAAATTATAGATCGACTTATCTTGGGAGGAGTGGAGAAGGGACCACGATCAAGATCCAATATCTAGGAAAACCCTCCGATAAAATGTTGTATAATCAATCTTCCCCCTCACCATCCCTCTCCCCTCTGTCACTCCCTTCCCCCCTTAATACTAAAAAAAAAGAAAAACTAATATAGGCATTAAATAACAGAAAATATCTTGTTTAACCTATTTTGATTTTCTTCTTAACACTTTTTAATCTTAATTGAGGTTTGTTGAATAGGTATTTTTGATACCTGATTTGTACATTTTTTCTATATAAGAAAAACCGTAAGTTATTTTTCCCCCATTTTTTTTATCTTGTAAAAACGCTTAATAGTCTTAATTGTTTATTCATAAGTTTGCGAGGAAATTGTAATAGTATAATTCTTATGTGTAAGGAAACTTGAAGTGAGCACAGGCTAATTGTCGTCTGCTGCTTGATTTGTAGTTTATGATGTTGGTCATTTTATAAAACAAAATGTTTCCTATATTTTATTTTGGTAGATTGGGGATCCACGGATTCATGTTTTGAGCACGATAGAAGGGTAGAGAAAATTACTTTCGATTAACTGCAGGAACAACCCCACTAAGGTGTTGCTCCCATTGAGGTGCCCCTAGTTCCAAAGTAATGTCAAAGAAGAGTTAAGGGACATCTCATTAATATGAAATTTATTAATAACATTTAAATAGCATAAAATAATAGAAATAACTATTTAATATAATGATTTTTACGTATTCGTCGAATTAATTGTCCAATTCTATTCCTGTACGGTTTTCATTACTATCCTTGGAGATGTGGAAGAGGAAACACTGCCTTGCCTTGATGTTTTTATTCTTCATCTATTCAAATCCATATCCGCACATATATATATATATATATATATATATATGTATACGTATGAGTGTACTTGTGAACATGATTGGGTAGGTAGATTTTTCTAATCTCTCCCTGCGATGGCGACCTATCAATTTATTCGCGATGACGTCGTGGCCTTTCCGGCATTCATCGACTGCCATGTTCATTTTCGCGAGCCCGGGCTGGAGCACAAGGCTGATATGCAAAGTGAGGCTACCGCCGCGTACCACGGCGGGATCTCCGCCGTCTGTGACATGCCAAACACAATTCCCCCCACGCAATCCATCGCGGCTCTCGCGGATAAGGTGGAACGCGCGAAAAAAGCGTCGTGCACGCGCATCTTTTTCTTTTTTGGCGCCACCGCGGCGACGCACCTGGCGGAGCTCGAGCGCCTCTGGACGCTGCCCGAGTGGGCCGCGCTGCGCTCACACTGCTGCGGGCTGAAGCTCTACCTCGACAACTCCACCGGCGATCTGAAGGCGAGCGATGATGTGACCGAGGCCGCGTTTGAGCTCTGCGCGCGGCTTCACATCCCTCTTGTTGCGCACTGCGAGCACGCCGAGCTCAACGCGCAGGCGGCCGCCGTCCACCCTTACGACGGCCCCGCCGCCCACTCCCGCCGCCGCCCCGCCG